GGTAGCGCATGCCTGTAGTCCAGCTCCTTGGAAGGCTGAGGCGGAAGGATCGCCAGAGCCCAGCAGGTTGAGGCTGCGGTGGCTGGGAGCGGCCACTGCACTCCAGTCTGGGTGAGAGTGAGACTCCAACTCCAAAAAAAAAAAGATTCTAGCAAATCAGATCCAACAACACATCTCAAAAATCATCCATCATATCCAAGTAGACATCATCCCCAGGATGCAGGGCTGGTTCAACATCTGCAAGACCATAAATGTAACTAAATACATCAACAGATGTAAAAACAAGAACCACATGAATATATCATTAGATGCAGAAAAAGTTTTTGATAAAATCCAGCATCCCTTCTTCATTAAAAACTCTCAAACACCTAGGTATAGAAGGAAAATACCTCAAAATAGCTTAAGTGCCATCTATGATAAACTCAGAGCGAGCATATTGCTAAATGAACAGAAACAGGAAACATTTCCCCTTAAAATCAGCAAGACAAGGCTGATCACTCTCACCCCTCTTGCTCAACATTGTGTTGGAAGTCCTAGCTAGAGCAATTAGACAAGAGAAGGAAATCAGAGGTATCCAAATAGGAAAAGAAGAAGTCAAGTTATCCCTCTTTACTGATGATATGATCCTAGAGACCCCAAGAGAATCTGTCAAAAACCTGCTTGCACTGATAAAGGACTTTGGTAAAGTCTTGGGGTACAAAATAAATGTACAAAAGCATTCTTACACACCAACAACAAGCAGGCAGAGAACCAAATAAAAGCACAATCCCATTCACAGTAGCCACAAAAAAAAAATGAAATACCTTGGCATCTTCCTAACCAGAGAAGTGAAAGACCTTTACAATGAAAACTACAAAACACTGCTCAAAGAAATCACAAATGGAAAAATATTCCATGCTCATAATAGGAAGAATCAACATTGTTAAGATGTCCTTCCTACCAAAGGCAATATACAGATTCAATGCAATACCCATTCAATTACCAACATCATTCTTCTCAGACCTGAAAATGACAATACAGAAATTCATATGGAAACATAAATGACCACAAATAGCCAAAACAATCCTTAGCAAAAGAAACAAAGCAAGAAGTATCACACTTCCAGACTTCAAACTTTAAGGCTACAATAGTCAAAACAACCTGGAATTGGTACAAGAACAGGCATATAGACCAATGGAACAGGACAGAGATTCCGGAAGCAAAACCTTAATTTCTCAACCAACTCATCTTTGACAAAGCCTTCAACAACAACCACTGGGAAGAGGAGAACCTATTCAGTAAATGGTGCTGGGAAAACTGACTGACCACATGCAGAAGACTGAAACAAGACTCCCTACTATCCCCATACACAAAAATCAATTCTAAATGGATCAAAGACCTAAATGTAAAACCTCAAACTATAAGAACCTTAGAAAATGCAGGAGACACTCTTATGGAAATTGGAATTGGCAACCAATTTCTGATCAAAACCCCAAGTGCCCACACCATAAGAAGTAAGATAGACAAGTGGAATCTCATCAAACTGACAAGCTTCTGCAAGGCAAAAGAAACCATCAAGAGAGCAGGGAGACAGCCCACAGAATGGGAAAAAATATTTGCCAACTGTATATCTGACAAAGTCCTAACATCCAAGATCTACAAGGAACTCAAATGTGCCGAAAGGAAAAAAATAAACAGCCCCATTAAAAAGTGGGCAAAAGACATGAATAGACACTTCTCAAAAGAAGATATACAAGCTGGGCTCGGTGGCTCAGCCTGTAATCCCGTGCCTTGGGAGGCTGAGGTGAGTGGATTGCTTCAGCCTGTGGGTTCGAGACCCGCCTGAGTAACTTGGTGAGACCTCATCTCTACAATAAATAAAAAATTAGCTGGGCATGGTAGCGCGCGCCTGTAATTCTGGCTACTTGGAAGGCTGAGGCGGAAGGATCGCCAGAGAGCAGCAGGTGGAGGCTGCGGTGGCCAGGAGCGGCCACTGCACTCCAGTCTGGGCAACAGAGTGAGACTCCAACTCAAAAAAAAAAAGGAAGATATACGTGCAGTCAACAGACACATGAAAAAGTGCTCAGCCTCACTCATCATCAGAAAGATGCAAATCAAAACCACACTGAGATACCAACTAACCCCAGTAAGAATGGCCACCGTTCATAAAACAAACAACAACAAATGCTGGCGAGGATGCGGAGAAAAAGGAACACTTCTGCACTGCTGGAGAGAATGCAAACTAGTGCAACCTCTTCGGAAAACAGTGTGGCGATTTCTGAAAGAACTAGAAATTGACCTTCCATATGACCCAGCAATCCCCTTATTGGGAATATACCAGAGGAACTCAAGTCATTCTACAAAAAAAGATACCTGCACATGCATGTTTATTACCAACACTTTTCACAATAGCAAAACCATGGAACCAACCGTGCTGCCCACTGAAATTGGACTGGATAAAAAAAATGTGGTACATATGCACAATGGAATATTATGCAGCCATAAAGAAGGACAAACATAT